CCCTATATGCCATCACCAGTTTGTGGTTTGTCCCTCATCGGACCACTGTTGGTAGATTCTTACGAATGGTGACCATGAGCATCCTACAATCCTCTATGTTTCAGAGATGCTCTGACACAGTTGTCTGGATGCAACAATTTTGCCCTTGTCAAAATCACTCAGATTTTTATTCCTGCCCATTTCCCCAACCCTCGTCTCACTTTTTTCAAGTCAAAAATGAGTTCTGTGTGATTTAAAGTACTTGTTTCATTTGAAGTACTTGTCAAGTTGCTGTACTATACTGTATGCTGTCTGTCCTTGATGATTTAGCTTTTTTGTCAATGAACAGGTGAAAGAGAATAAATGCTCATCAGACCTAGTTGTTTTTTATGTTTATTATGATTAATGTACTCCTTTTCCCTCAATGAATGCAGTGTTGCACATTGTCGTTGTCACTCTTTTTTGCATCCACATGGAAGTCTTAAAAAACATGAAATATATGGCTTCTACATATATATAATGTTAACAAAAGATTGGTTTCTGACATACAAATGAAAATATCTCAAACAAAAATCCTTATCCAGTAAATAAAGTCATAGAAAAAAGCAAGGATAGTACACTCGATAAAAAGTGTGGAAATTCTGCAAATATCAGGTGATCAAAGTGAAATTTCAAAGTAATATGTTTGTGGTAGCCTAATAAGTAATATTATATTAATGATAGAACAAAACCATTTAACATCGTCATTGTTTAACTAAAATGCTACTTTTCATTTAAAGGGGTCATATGATGCTGCTAAAAAGAACATTATTTTGTGTATTTGGTGTAATGAAATGTGTTTATGCGGTTTAAAGTTAAAAAAACACATTATTTTCCACATACTGTACATTATTGTTTCTCCTGTATGCCCCGCCTTTTTGAAACGCGTCGATTTTTACAAAACTAATCGGTCTGAAAAGCGAGGTGTGCTCTGATTAGCCAGCTATCCAGTGCGTTGTGATTAGCCGAATACCTCAAGCGTGAGA